TTCTCTGGCGCCGGATCTCCGTAATCTTCTTTTTGAGCAGCTTATAGTCGATGTAAGCGCGTGCCATTCGGGCACTGCGAAAGAGTGTACACATAGGTAGATCGGCAAGCAGAACTACAATCTTATCTCACTTGTGTGTCCTCGAGATAACTGAGCCGCCGCATTAGAAAACGGAGCAGAGGTCGGATTAAGACTCACCGAGCGAACTTCATGGTGTCGACAGTGCGTTAGTAAAGCAAGTAAGGACGGGAAGTTATAACTCGAGGGGTTCCGTGAAAGGCGAAGGGTATCAGGATGGTTCAAGCCAAGGAGCGAGCAGCGCTATGAAATGATCGTCATGTCGATCATTAGCAAAAATAGGTCGCATGCCACGTGGTGTTTTTGTGGACCTCAATTCACTCAACCCCTACGAGGGCTTGCGGTTTAGTTGCATTACAGCACCGGTGGGACCTCAGGATCTGACTTGGAGAGTTTAAAATTTTGCAAAAGAGAAAAGGCGCCATTGTAGAATCGTCCCACCTTTGAAAGCGTGATTGCAAAACTCAATTGTACCTTGGTCCCGAGCATTCTCAAGACCCAAAATGAGATAGTAGTGATTGCGTGGTAAGTAAGTAAAGTGTGATGGATGAAGACCAACAATGACATTGCCATGCATTGTCAGAATTTTACTTGCCAGGAGGCCCACCACGAGGCTGGCCCCTGCCCCGGCCACCTCTGAAACCGTCACCGCGACCCCGCTGCCCATCACCCATCGGACCTCCACCTCGCGGTCGGCTAGCTGGCCGTTCGCTGCGCTCTTTTCTTGTCTCGATCGAGATTCTGCAATGTGTCAGAAGTGCAAAAGAGAAACATCATTGGTGCACACCTGAACGTGCTGTCAGGCCCCATGTCGATCCAGAATCCTCCCTCACCACCCTGCGACTGAGGCAGAGGCCGCGATTGCTTTGCGTGCAGAATCCAGGCTCAAGAACTCGAAGAATGCACACGCTTTGTTGCGTACAATCTCCAGATCTTTGAGTGGGCCAAAGCGATTTGTCAGCTGGGTCTGCAGAGCATTGATCGTCACTGGCTCGAGAACACCCTTGACGAAACATTGGGCCGTCGTCACGCTCATTGCCGCAGCATAACTGGGATGCTGCTGCGGCTGACCCTGTCGTTGGACCGGGGCCGGGGACTGCTGTTGCTGAACTGGAGGCTGAGCAGGAGCGGGAATCTGCACTGTAGCCGGCGCGATCTCGGATGTCCCTCGAGAGTCCACAGCAACGGTCGATCCCCACTTTTTCGGGTTCGCAGCGGCAAGGTTTGCCCACGAACGCGGTTGGGCGGGTACGGGAGCCGGAGCCGGTATGGGTGCAGCTACGGGAGGAGGCGCTTGCACTGGTGCCGGCGCTGGTGCCGGGGTCGGTGCTGGGACTGCTGCCGGGGCCGGCGCAGGTGCCGGGGGTGGCGTCACTGCTTTCGGTTGCGAAATCTCAACAGGCGCCTCGGCAACAGGAGGCTCTTCAACAGCGGGCGGAGGAGTAGGTTCGCGAGGAGTGGGCTCTCTGGGTGCAGGCTCGACAGCGACGGGCTCGACAACCACGGGTTCGACAGCAGCAGCATGCTCGACAACGGAAACGGACGCGTGCTCCGGCTCGACGACCTCGCTCGCCGCATCCTCGCTCTCGTGCTCGCTCTCCACCGTCTCCTCCTTGAGGAACCGGAAAATGTCGTTCAGAACAAAGTACCCATTCGGCTGCTCGGCGAGAAAGAAGGTTTGCACGAATTTGCGCCACGGCTCAGCGTCGTTCGACATCTCACCGATCACCTGAATGATGATACCCCCATCGGCAGAAGACTGCGCGTCAACAGAGTGGATGAACACTTTGCAGTCACGAAACCCGATTTCGGTTATGCGAGCATGGATCTCCTACGTGAGTGATTGTCCCCATCAGCGTCTCGTCCATACGCAAAACACGGCGAGTAGGACGCGACACGTACCTGTTGTCCCAGACAGACCCTCCCCTCATCTCCTTCTGTGCCATGCACGAAAGTAGACTTTTTGTTGTAGAACTGGTGCAATCGGTCCGGTTGTTTGTTCACAAAGGTGTAGTATTGAGGAACGAATTGCCAGCCAACCTCCGACGGATTGGGAGTGCGTGACGATGGGACCTGAGTGGGAGGAGCGGAGGTAGCGTCGGTAGAAGGGGCAGATGGGGGATTGGGGGTGGTGGTGGTGGTCATGCTGTCACAACACGAAACGCCATAAGAGTCAGATTGGATAGAAATGAAAACACGCAGCGTACATATATTAGGAAAGGAAAGGGAGATGTGGTCTATGTAGTACAGCAACAGCAAGTACAGCAGAGCAGACGATGAGCAGCAGCAGGAGCAGAGCGCGAGCAGTGGGCACTCGGGAAAAAAACACGACCATACAATCTGATCACGTTGCGTCATCCTAGCCAGTCGACAACCTGCTACTACGATCTCCGTTTTGTACCACTTACGGCTTGCTGGGGCTATGCAACAGAATCATTGCGCAGCAGTCCGTCCTTGCGGGATACTACTGCGCGTCGTCGTCATGACATGCTTCCCATTCTAACTTCAAGTGTCAAGAGACATTCATTATTACTCCCGAAATCCTTCAAGTTCGGAGAGACTTCGCAACAATTCTGAGATCGCGGACATGAAGTTGAATTACAGTACGACCGCGGCCACGGGACCTGGACGCGGAAAAATCCACCACTGTATATAGCGAATTGACTCCGCTCATGGGCGGCCGTCTTCTCTATAGTAGGTGGCTCTGAATACATGGGGGAGACTCGGCTAAAACTACTATAGAGGGGGGAAGCGAATCTAGCCGCCTTGAATCATTCTCAGTGCAGCTATCCAGCAATGCCATATACTAGCAACTTGCAACGCTTCAGGTCCGCTATGATTCAGATCAACCATTGGGTCCGGAAAGCGCTGCGGGAACCTGGCAACACCTTGGATCGCTGTCGGTCGCTTCCCTCATGCGGAACTTGTGGCCGCATCATATGCCCGTCGAGCATCAAGAAAATGCAACCATGACCTAACGAAGGTCTGTCTCGTGCTCTGGCAGCGGGCCGCCAAGAAACAATCCGACAAATATAAATGCGCGCAGTGGACATGGACGAATTCGTCCCTCTCGACACCCGCCTGAGACACCCGCCTGAGATGTTCGGATTCGCAAAACTCGTCTCTTTTGTCCTTCTGGCTACGGCTCCCATCGCGCTTTCGACCCCCGTGCCGGCTGAGCTCGCTGCTGCGATCGACACTTCGTCGCACTGTGGTAAGGCCTCTTCTTGCTGATCTCCATATGTCGGAAATCTGACTGGTGGGCAAAGGTCAATACGATGCCGTCAACGTTGGTCCATACACGCTGTATCTGGACCAGTGGGGTCTCGGATCAGGAGTTACCGGTTCCGACTGTGCTAGCCTCACATCTCTGAGCGGCACGACGATCGCTTGGAAAGCCGTATGGACTTTTAACACAGGTGCGTCACATGCAACCTGGTCATGTGTCCTTCAATTCAATCTCGGCCCAGCGAGCGGCGGAATCAAGAGCTTTACGAACATCAATGTCAACACTGGGTTAAACAAGGCACTTTCAGCCATCAAGACGATGCCGGTGAGGGTCCCGACCGTGCGACTACTCATAGACTGAATGCTCTGCAGAGCACATGGAAATGGTCTCAGAGCACAAGCTCTGTCGTGGCTGATGTCGCTTACGACCTTTTCACTGCCAACAACGCAGGGGGCGCAAACGTTAACGAGATCATGATCTGGCTTGCCAACTTCAATGCTGGGCCTATCTCGGCATCGTACAATGCCCAGGGTCAGCCCGTGTACGTGCGCTCTCCTGCGTGCATACTTCCACCGTCCTGATCGGTCATCTCCCATCAGGGCCGTCGCCACGAACCTGTCCATCGCCGGACACACCTGGTAAGTTGTGCGTTGAGTTCTCAACCGACAGTATCCTCATCGCAGCATGAAGGAACCTGTACTTCGGCTCCAACGGCTCGAACAATGTCTACTCTTTCCTTCCGACCAGCGGAACGATCACCAGCTTCAGCGGAGATTTGAACCTCTTCTTCAAGGTATGCAGCGTGGATATCCGCCATCGTAGCTCATTTTAGCACCCAAATAGTACCTCACGGCAAACCGGGGCCTCAGTACATCGCAAGTTCTGGTGACAGCCCAGGGTGGAACGGAGGCGACTTCCGGGTCTGCTACTTTGACGACGTCAGTCTGCGTTTGTTTCTCTACATCACAATACTGACCTCCTCCAGTTCTGCATTCAGCTTGGTGGTGAACTAGTCAGTAGTTGTCGAAGAAGTAGGGAAGATCCCATGCACATGAATGAAATTCAAATGATACCAAATATCTCACACATGCAACCCTGTGTCTGAACCAGCTGAGCGGCGTTCCGGATGGACCACGCCCTCCAGTTAGGGTGTGTAATCGTCCAGTCGGATATGTAAGCCTGACAGGGGATTATATTTATTGATAATTATTCAAAAAAACTCGAATTTCATAGCTGACAAACGCTCGCAGATGGGCGCCGCGAGTGATGGGGAATGATGCCCTTTGATGGGGGTCCACTGGCGTAATGCATCCCCATTTCCTGCAAAATATCTGAAGCCGTGGCGCATTGGGAAATTCTTTGGCTCTGAGATCTGAGTTCTTAAACCACGCTCCAGAAATGAGAAGTCTGAGCTCCAACTCGATGAGCCGCAGCGCATGAGCTGATTGAGCCGGCACTGGGAAATCACGATACGTCAAGCTGGTAGATCCCGATCAAATGCCAAAATCTCACGGTGGCTGTTTGCCGTTGTCGACAAACTGCAGCCCAAGTTCGGAGTCCCCCGGTATCTTAAAAGCAGCCTGGGCGGTGTTCCGGATGACCGAGAATCTGATTGATCGATTCCTACACCCATCCAGTCCGAGACACTTCAAGGGCAAAAAGCTTATGGAAGCGTCGATACGAGACGGAGAAATGGAGCCAGCAGCGTCCCAGAGTATATAAACTGGACCCAACCGGTACATTTTCAACATCCCTCTCTCCCCTCTCTCTCAGCCAGCATTCAGTAAATAAGATGGTCCTCAAGCTCTACGGTTACACGCACTCGATCTGCACCCGCCGTGCTGCCCTCATCGCCAAAGAGCTCAGCGTTGCATACGAGCTCGTCCCTGTCGATATCACGATCGGCGCGCAGAAGGCTCCCGAGCATCTCGCTCGCCACCCGTTTGGCCTCGTGCCCACCATTGATGTGCGCGTTTTACGCGTCGCTTTCGCGGCGCGCTCTTGGCTGACATCATGTCTTGCATCCAGGATGACGGTTTCACCCTCTTCGAAAGTCGGGCTATCTCCGTTACCTCGTCGCCAAGTACGGGAACGGCAGCACCCTGGTCCCGGACACCAAGGACATCCAGGCGACGGCCAAGTTCGAGCAAGCGATGAGCATCGAGAACAACCACTTCGACCCTCTCGCCCAGTCTATCATGGTCGAGAAGGTGTTCAAAGCGTGTGTTTCACTCGCGCTCCTCATGTTGAAGACCGTACTCAAGTCGCGTAATCCAGGATACGTGGCTTGGCACCGGACGAGGCAACACTCAGCGCGTCTATCGACAGCTTGAATGCCAAGCTGGACGTCTATGAGAAGATTCTGTCCTCGCAGAAATATCTTGCTGGCAGCGTCAGTGCTCTGTTTCGTTTCATTACCATCAGTGACTAACTTATGCGCAGACGGTGACCATCGCCGACCTCATCCACCTACCTTGGCTCTATGGTCTCGGCCATGTGCGTTCGATTGAATGCTTCGGCCCGGTTTCGATACTGATCTGTCGTCTAGGCCAAATTCGATGCGTTCACTGGTCGCCCCAGTGTGACTCGTTGGTACGAGGATATCAGCGCTCGTGAAAGCTGGAAATCGGTCAAAGATGGAGCTTAAGCACCTTTATCTGGAGATTTTCCGCATAACTCCACACAATCAATACAGAACGAATTTGAACAGAACAGCCAAAACTGAATCTTATCGATTAGATCATGAAGCGTAATGCATCAACGATTAGATTGATGACACGGACTGGATCCAGCTTGAGATATGCCACTAGACGAGCAGTCACCAACTCGATCCTTTCAACAAACTTCAGATTGCGGTTGTGTCACTTTGTCAAGGTTCTGCATGTCTGAACGGACGGTCGATGTTGAAATTTCTCATAATCGACTTGGGCGAGTATTTGCGAGAGACCACTAAACTGTACTCATCTCCTTTCTTTCCGTGTTGAACCCTTTCATTGTCTTCATCATGCTAGGATTTCTCCTTCTCAACGCAATTCTTCTGGCCCTCGTACAAAATACGAAGGCTCAACGACATCGCCGTCCAGGTACACCTCGCCAACCTTCGCCTTCACGCCTCGCACCGTTCGCTGAAGAGCACCGCTATGGGTTGATCAACGACTCTTACATCGTTATGCTCAATCCCGCGCCTGAATCTTCGTCGTCGTTCTCATCTCACTCCCCGTCCTCGCCGATACACGTCTCAGAAATGATGCAGAACCACTTCAACTACCTGCAAGCGGCACATCAAAGCAACAACGTCTACGAGGGAGTGTACTCGATCGGGCAGGTGTATGCGGCGTGGAATGGTTATGCGGCAACGTTCTCGGCGAGCATGGTGGAGGAACTGAGGACGCTGCCCGAGGTACGATACATTGAGCGGGATCAGGTCATGAAGACACAGGGAGCACCCGCTGTGCAGACCAACGCGCCTTGGGTGCGTTCTGGACGCGTCATGACGCGTATTCTTACCTGATGGAACAGGGACTGGCGCGGCTAAGCCAGCGCGAGACACTGCCTAGCTCTGGCGACTCTCTTATTTTCAGCTCCTCGCCCAATTCCGATTCAAGCTATACCTACAAGTACGATCCTACCGGTGGTCAGGGTGTCGACGTGTATGTTATAGACACCGGCATAGATACTCATCACCCCGAGTTCGAAGGACGTGCTGTTTGGGGTAAGACGATTGCAACGAACGGCGGCGACACGGATACCAACGGACACGGCACCCATTGCGCTGGGACGATCGGGTCTCGGACATACGGCGTCGCGAAGCAGGCGCGGTTGCTTGCTGTGAAGGTTCTGGGCTCAGATGGAAGCGGTTCTATGTCGGATGTACTCGCGGGAGTAGACTGGGCCGTCCAGGATGCTCAAGCGAAGAGGCAAGCAGCGAAGCAGAACTCGGGTCTCAATTCCACCAACGCATATCGCGGCGCCGTTGTGAGCATGAGTCTTGGTGGAGGCAAGTCTGTGGTGTTGGACATGGCGGTCAACGGGGCTGTCGAGTCGGGAATACACTTTGCCGTTGCCGCAGGTACTTGAACCTCTGGGACATTTTCACTCACTGATCTTGTTCTCCAACAGGGAACGACAATCAGAACGCCTGCAACTACTCACCAGCCTCTGCCGCCAAAGTCCTCACTGTGGGAGCATCGACGATCAAGGACGAAGCTGCGTCTTTCTCCAATGTCGGACCGTGTGTCGATGTTTTTGCGCCGGGGTTGAACATCTTGTCGACGTATATTGGTGAGAAGGGCGCCACGAAAGAGCTCTCGGGCACCTCGATGGCGGCGCCCCATGCGGCTGGGTTGATCGCCTACTTCTTGTCGATATATCCATCCTCCTCTTTCGATCCACCGAGACCCTCAAGTCAATCAACGGCTGCACATCAACAACCCTTCTCGATTGGCCCGCCTGTGAATGTCGGGCTTGGGTCTGGCTTCCTTTCTGGGATTCTGCCGTTTCCGATCAACAATCCTGCCTCGGATATCACACCAGAACAGCTCAAATCGGCTCTAATGGGATTGGCGAGTCGGGGCCAGATGCCGGGAATACGACAAGATACGACGGATAGGTTATTGTTCAACAACGCTAGTGCAATTTCGGGATGAATGAAAGAGATGACATGTTGTGTCGTGTCCAGAGTACATAGCTAAACGGTGTCTCTGAAGCCCATGAGGTAGGCCATGCTCTGGAAAGCGGCCTGGAAAATCCGTGTCAGCTTATGTGGGTCAGAAAGTGCAGTGCGTCCTCACCAGGGGCGAGAACTGGGGGACCATGTGGCCGCTGAGTTCGACCTCGATGTATGTGAAGCCACGCTCGGTGTGTGCTGTGCCGAGCGGGCCGACGTTGTCGACAACGAGGCTGTCGTTGGCGGTCGGGGTCTGGAAACCTTGCATGCCGTTCCAGGTCATGCTGGACAGGTTGTCAGATGGGGTACTAGGGGACATATGATTCGTCTGGCGCTCACTTTTGAATGACAATACGGGTGCTAAGTGACTTTGGATCAGCCACTCAGATGGTCAAGCACCAGCAGCCAAACGCACCCTTCAGCAATGAAGATAAAGTCTGCCAACCCATGCGCAATGACCGACCGCTTGCTTTTCTCGATGACATTTGGAAGCACGGAAAGGTATGAGAAATCGCTGTTGTCGCCTTGCGGGAAGACTGCGATGTTGCTACACTCCGTCCAGGACACATTCATTGGTGCGTGAATCGCTTGTTTCACGTCCGGGCGGTCAAAGTACAACGGCGCCAATTGGATGTTATCGAACGTCCCAGGGAACCCGAGCACGTCCCACAGCACAGGGAAAGTGTCGAACACACGGTAGATGTTGAATGCGGGGTTTTTCACGAGCGCCTGATTGAGAACGGTGTTCCAGATATCGCAGTCCCCAGAGCTGGGAACATCTGGGGTCGGAAGCAGACCGTTGGGCGGATAGGTCACATAAGTGGACATGTAATCAGCGTAGTTGCATTGTTTGCTCGTTGCCTCGAGTTGGTCCATGAACGCTTGGCTGAGAATCATTAGCGCACCATCATTGGCGATGTGGCCCTCGCTCGCTTACTTGAAAGCAAAGACGTTCTGGTATTTTTTCACAAACTCGAAGACGGGAATCTGGGACTGAGCAACATTGGGACCGATGCTCGCTAGTCAAGAATGTTTAGAATATCAGGATGGGCGCCTTCAACGAACTGGAACTTACGATCGGCGATCCAAATGCCCTGCAGGCTCAGGTTCAATGCAGTCGGGTTTTCGTAGATGTAGTTGGCAATGTCTGCTTCCAAGTAAGAATCCGGGCGCTATCGAGGTCAGAACGACTCACAGGGAACATATTTTCCAGCATACTGTTGTGGGTTTATCACTGTATTCCCCGTCGGAGAAACCGGGCACTCACACTCTCCCCAGTGATGTAGAACTTTTTGCCGTTCAGCTCCTTGAAAATGTCCAGGAACTGCTGCATGAAGCCGACCAGTTGGGCAGCCAGCTCGTCTTGATTCTGGTAGATGTTGAATGCTTGGAATCAATGGAAATCGAGAGCCCAGCTCACAGTGATGTTCGGCGTTCCTTGCGAGTAGCCCGTACCGACGGGCTGCTCAATCCAAATCATACTGGAAAGGTTGGTCCAGCTGTTGACGTTCGGAATGGGCTTGGCCGTCCCGACACCCCATTGGAAGGGCTGCGAACAATCAGAGGCAGCCAAACGACGGGGCAGAGAGCAGGGAGCATACCCCGTTCTCCTGCAAAAGTCCCTCGAGACTGCTGCATCCCGGTCCACCGTTCGTCCAGAAGATGAGATCATCGAGACTTCCCTCCGGCCCAGGCGGGAAGAACCAGAAGAAAAGCTGCACAAGAAGTCAGATCACGAAGCAGCGGGTTCAGCGTGCAGACCTTGCGCGTCTCATTGGGGTCACTGCTGATGGGTAGCAGGCCTGACCAGCTGGGTCCAACATCGAAGTCGACTTCAGGGATGCTCGTGCCATCGACGTAGAATTCTGCATACGGTTACGATCGTCCAATCTGGAAAGGGGGACGACCACCACGCACGAGATGCCCTCGGGTCGGTGAATGTGATGTTCTGGACGCCGGGGATGGCAGACTCGACAACAGGACGCGTGAAGCGTTCCGCAGCGGCGACCTGCAGCTGCCGCATGTGCGCTTTGGTTGGGAACGTCTCCCCAGCCCCAACGGTGCCGGCGAGAGCGATGGCGCTCACAAGAGCGGATGTCCACAATTTGGAAAACATGGTTCGCATTTTCACATCCATCCCCCGTTGCTTATAAGCAAAAGCGCAAATTCAGGAAGATCCGCGTGTTTAGAATGAGCCATGTGCGGCGGGCTACAAGCGAGTTCCTAGCGGTCCTTCGAACGGGTGATCTCGGCCTCGAGTGTGACGAAAGCGGTCGCTTTTCACGGGAGCTCGTGAAGGGACCAGAGTAATTGCAGCGAGCGCCCATTACTACTGCATCCTGGCCCGGCAGACAAGGCACGCATTGTCGAATGAAGGATCGTCATGGTCCAAGGAGCATTATTAGTGCAGCACCGAGCGGGTTTTCTGACTCGTTTTCGTCGCTGCATTCCAGAAGCAGAAAGAAGACGATATGAGACGATGACGAGGGCGAAGCTCCATGAGCATTTTAATTATTCCCGCGATGCGGGCCAAGGAAGCGAAGGCGACCATCGTGGGATCGAAGACTCGTGGCGAGAAGAGCAGGGGTCTGGGTTTCGAAGAACTCGTCCGCTACCGAGAAGAATGCTTTAAATTTTCAACATCTCTTATGTACCAGGGATGTACCCTGGAATGACTCCTTCCGGAGTTTGCATGCCAAGACATCTGCGAGCGATGCCATGGTAGCCAGACACTGGTGGGCCAAATTAAGCTGGAATGTATGCAGGCCGAAGTGGGGCTGAACTCGTGGCTGGCCGGTGGAAGCAATAGTCGAGTGCATGATTACGAACAAAGGTGCCGTAACTTGCGAAGTTTCGAGTCCGTGAGGTCGATGCATCACGCGTTGCCCGTGAAATTCAATCCTTCGAGGCCACGAGATTAGATATCCGACTCGGAATCAAATCTGATTAGATCCATATCTAATCTTGCTCCCATGACTGTATGGCGACATCTCTAAACTGTGAAAACTCCGGCTTCAGAAATCACATGGTTCGAATTCGCGAGTCTGATTTAGCATACAGTAAACGCATATGTACTGCTTGGAAACAGAGTCCACCTCTTTCCTCTGGTACGTGTTCTGAATTTTCGCTCGGCTCCGAACCGGTCACCAGGCGGTACTGTGATTACTGCCTAAGCCAACTATGGTAATGGAGAGAGAAGCTCTGAAGTTGGTCTCGTTATCGCTCAGTGGTAACCAAGTACCGGTATAGCATGCAGCGACGAGGGCGGGAAAGATTTGTCTTGAAGGATGATCACATTGATGGCTGCGATCTGATTCTGTACTGCGCAACAGCAATGCTATGCCATCCATCTTCCATCTTGAGACTTACCCTCACTGAACCACACGATCCCCTACTCGCTTGCTTCCTTTCACGAACTGCATCGACCTTGTCATGTCAACCGTACCTGAGACCAAGCTTGAAACAGCCACAGCGCCAATGGAGCCAGCCAGCACTGCTCCTGCTCCAGATACAGCACCAGTGACGTCGGAGATCTCACCCGAGGCAACAGAGCATGCACAACCCACGGTCTCTAGCACGTCCCCCGACACAGCTCCGGATGCTCCGCCAAGGCCTAGGGAACTGGTTGTCGACGAGCGCTTAGCAGGTCTCCGCGCCATGTTCCCTGATTTTGATGATGCAGTCCTGTGCGTACTTACGGGGACCACGTCCGGCAGCCACACTCACACCGGTTTCACCTCCACAGGAACTCTGTCCTCGAGTCTGTTAACGGTGATTCGGAACGTGCAGTGACTGCGCTGCTGAGCATGAGTGACCCCGACTACGTCCCGGAGCAGCAACCCGAGGCCCCGGCTCCTCTCGTACGCTTCTCTTCCTCGCATCTTAGGTGTTTTCTTTACATCCATATCAGCCTCCTCAGACTCAGGCTCAGACCCAAGAAGATCTGGACGAACAGTTTGCGCGAGCGCTCATGATCGAGGATGAGCGCCAGGCAGCAGCGACTTGGCAAGCGCGTCAAGGCCCAAGACCGACTCAGCCGCAATCCTATAATGCATACCCGACAGGTCAAGGGAAAGACTCCATGCAGGAGATCCAGGAGCAGCTCAACAAATTCGCTGAGAGTGCGCACTTGCTTTGCTTTACCGCCTGACAGTGTGCTTAGCAGACCACTGACAGGCGGAAAACGAACGATTGGTACCTTGTTCTCCAAAGTCAAGGCTAAGATCCAGGAGTTCGACCAGCCGGCCTCGGGTGCCATTGCCTCTTCCTCTGCCCAACAACCGCAGCAGGACTACGGATACAACTACGGAGTGCATCAGCCAGGTCCAGCTGCTGGGAGACATGCCCAACAAGCTTATTTCCAACAGCAGCAGCAAACTCAAGCGGAGATTCCTGCCTATTACGATCCTAACAGTGCTGCCACCACCAGCCCACCGGCAAGTGCCACTGCCAGAGGTTATGACGCAGGCGAGTGCATATGCTCAATATCCGTTCTGTCTTGACGCGCTACGTTGTTGGAAACAGGCTCCCCTCCGGTCGCAATTTCTTCGACTGTTACACCCACTCCGCCTACGACACATTCGGGCACACCGCCTATTGACGGAGGTTCGTCCCAAAATCTCCGCTTATTCTCAATCTAAACGCGGGGTAGGTAAACTCGGAATGCTCCCCAAACGTCCGGTCTCGTTGTTACAAACCACCGTTCCACCTTCCAGTGGTGCACCACCTAGCAGCGACGACGAATTGGAGTATGCTGAGAATCCTTTCGAAGACGGTCCGAAAAAGTGATCTTTTTGCATATGGACCTGCCGTTTATGTCGAACTAGGTGTAGTATGTATAAGCTCAGTGGTAGATAATCGATTGCGGTATTCAAGATTTGCACCATCACAGCCACCAAGCATCTATCCTATCTCACTTTTGTACAATCCACTCGAGGAAGCGCGTACCTGGTTTTCCCCGGCGCAGAGGCCTTCGCTTTAGTGCTGTGTCACTCACCCCAAGCTTCTCTCATTCTGCCCGTCGCTATGCCACAGTATGACCCCGACCGCTACATCAACCAACTGCACACATGCACGCACCTCCCGGAGGCCGATATGAAACTGCTCTGCGAGCATGTTCGGACACTGCTTATGGAAGAGGGAAACATCCAGCCCGTCTCATCTCCTGTAACCATCTGCGGCGATATACATGGCCAATTCTGGGACCTTTTGGAGCTGTTGAGGCGAGGTGGGCCTGTACCGGAGACCAGTTACATCTTCATGGGGGATTTCGTGGATCGTGGGCATTATAGCTTGGAGACGGTCTCCTTGTTGCTTGCCCTGAAGGCTCGGTTTGTCTGTCACTCCTTCATTGCGACCATTCTGAGACTCGGTCAGCTACCCCGATCGGGTCACCCTGCTACGAGGCAATCACGAAAGCCGACAAATAACACAGGTGTACGGGTTCTATGGTGTGTCCGCTGTGTCCGTGACACGCACTTTAACGAATGACGTGGCTCACAGACGAGTGTCAACAAAAATACGGGAGCGCCGCGGTGTGGAAAGCGTGCTGCAATGTGTTCGACTTCCTGAGCATCGCTGCGGTGCGTGCTGTCTGGCCATTTTCGCGCGCTGTGGTCAGGACCTGGCGTCTAGATCATCGACGGGACAACCTTGTGCGTGCACGGCGGCCTATCCCCCGACATCCGGACGTTGGATCAAATCCGCGTGCTCGCACGCGCCCAAGAGATTCCGCACGAAGGCGCCTTCTGCGATTTGATGTGGTCTGATCCGGACGAGGCTGCTGGTGATACTTGGGCCGTCTCACCACGAGGGGCGGGCTGGTTGTTCGGAGCCAAAGTGGCCAGGGAGTTCAACCATGTCAATGGCCTATCGCTTATTGCCCGGGCTCATCAGCTGGTCAACGAGGGCTACAAGCACGTATTTGACGAGGCCGTTGTGACAGTCTGGAGTGCACCCAACTATTGTGCGTGGAATGCCTGTGATCAACCGTTGTACTGATCTGGACCGCAGGCTACCGCTGTGGTAACATGGCAGCTATTCTGACCCTCAAAGAGTCCGGCGAAAGCGAATTCACTGTCTTCGGTGCCGCGGAAGAGAACGAGCGTGACAAAGGAATGCAAACGAGGAAGATGGTGGGTCTCTTCGTCCGCACCAGATCCGATCATCTTCTGATTGGTCGTCTAGAATACGATGCCATATTTTGTGTAGCCATAGTCTGTATATCCGCACATATTGTATTATTGCATTTTCGTCGTGGTCATGGACTAGTGTTACTTCCTGGCGATGACAAAGCTTCACACGCCCACATTTGATTTGATCTGGACTCTGCGTTCGTCTCAGAACGTAGCTGTCAAGGATATCATGATGGTTTGTCCGAGGCTTATAAAGCTACTTAACGAATTCGGTTCGATATTTCTCGCTTGGGCCGCACGTGACTATTCGCTGTCTGTCGCAGCACCGTTAGAAGGTGCGCATCGCGTGTGGCAGATAGAATGACTGCATGCACTTTCTTGAAGCCTAATTCATCCAGACATCTATGTTCAGAGGCACAGAGCTTTACGTGCAACAGGGCACGGATGATGATGTGTGTGTACATGCTTGAGATCAACGGCATTGTCTCACACGACCTTTGTCCCTCGACATTATTTCTCTCAATGATGCAAGCCCAGCAAATCCGGCACGCACCCAACGCCCGTCTCAACGCGTTCCATGGTACAAAGCGTCAAGTTCTGGGAAATCACGCGGGTCGCGCCCCGCCCGCATGGCGAGGGTCTAACGTGGGCGCATACGCGAAAGGAAAGGAAGTCGCGGATGGCGAAACGGCGGGCGGGAGCAGGATCTTTCTAAGCCGATTACCAACGGATGTCGGAGAGAACGAAGTGGAGGTCCGTTGGCGCGTCGTTTGTTGCTATCACACGTCTAGAACCTGTTGCAGGAGTTGTTCAAAAAGACGGTGCGATATTGACGCTCATCCCGATACCACAAAGTGAAGAAGGTCGCATGCTGCAGGTCGGACCGCTCCGAGAATCGTTCTTAATATACAACTCGCAAGGGCGATCGAAGGGCATGGCAGTTGTGACCTTTCAACGACCCGGGGATGCAGCAGTCGCGCGCGAGAAATACGACGGAAAGATAGTGGATGGACGTAAGGCTCTTCCGGCTTGAAGTTTCCGATGGTGTCTGAAGAAAAGGACAGGACGTCCCATCAAGATTGAGATAATGGTGGATTCGGCCCGGCCACTGCACTCAATCCCAACAGGACCGCCAAGTTTGTTCGAGCGTTTACGACCTGGCTCGGATTCTAAAATTGGTGCGGGGGGATCGAGTGGTGGGCCTTCTCGGTTCATAACTCCGTGCGTAGCATCAGGCGCTCGGATCGTGAGCTGAATGACTTTCCAGCCAAACAAAAAAAGCGACAAATCTAGCGCCACCAGCACCACCTCCGCGGCCTGCTACCCCACATAATGCGACGCTCGCTGCACCTGTTCCTCCTCGCCGACGCGCCAAGAAGGGGCCGAAACGGCTGAAGAAGCAATGGGCAACTTCGCGGTCAAAGGAAGAACTGGACAAAGAGATGGAGGATTACCGTGCACTGGCTCCCCCGGCATAACAAATCAACATATCCCACGCATATTTCCCCTTGCATCTTCATTCACGTCCTCGATCTGCTTTGCATCTTTGCTCTATGTATATATATTAGTATCATACCTCTGAGCTATAATATCTGCTGGCTAGCTAGCATTCGTAAATGAAATTGACTCATACGTGGCCAGGGACGAGGATTTTAATGCCTAGGCTTCAAGTAGGCCACAATTCAGAGGGCAAGGGCCTGGATGACACCGAACGGGAATCAGGCACCGAGCCAGATAAGGAATAGTTGCTATCAAGCATCTGCGCGTGTCATTTTGAAGGCTTGCCATCTTGCCTCGTCACAAGTTTTCCACCGACCACCACCATGTCCGCGCGTAGCCCTCTGTGAGCTCAGCATGCCGTGCTATAGGCCGTGCGTGCGAGATTCTCAATTATCTCCCCTCTAGCTCCGTCGTGTTTCTTCTTCACATCGCGCTGGAGATACCGCTGGCGATCCAGGGAGTATGGTCCCCGGCCTCTCTGCCGTTCCTGCAGATGAACAATACGACCCTTGTCGTGGTCAAGGTGCGTGCGCGTTTTGTGCCTGCGGCGATGACTTGTTCGCTCACACGACTGCAGTTGTATAGTGCTCTAGTGTTTGCGACTTGTGGCGTGTCATTGCTCTGCTTCGGATTACCTGGTACGCGCAACTATCAGAATTCGAAGACTATCGCAGGTCCTTACCAGTAAAAAGAATTCCTGCCAGGAAAACGTGCCCTTGCCATTGGCCTGTGCATATACCACACCATATGCTCCACGATCCTGTACCAGGCCCCGCGTTTCATACCGATGTCTCTGGGGGCCTTTGCCGAGAGGTTAGTCAGCCCGATGGTCGATGGCCGAGCATCCTTCTTGTTTTTTCGGTCATTCACACGTCGTCAGCTTCAAAGTCACGCCCGAAGGCGTCTGGGGAACCCTACATGGTCTCCTCGGACTTCTCATGGTCGTCTGGTGGCAAGGGACCCTTCATTACGCTCAGATGATACGCCCCCAATGATTCGGTCGTCGTTCGTCCAGGAAGAGCAGGGATATGGTGAAACGAGATCTGTGCGCGTGTGTAAAAATGACAGTGCTGCGTATCTTTATTGCTCTGAATATACTACGACATGATCTCACCGGTACAGCGTCAAATCGGATATCATAATCAATCCGACCGTTCGGCGGAAGTGGCCCAGCGTCGACCGGATTGTTACAATCAAATCAACAGTTTGGCAAAAGACGTGCTTGGTAGGGCTTCGCTGAGTAGATGGGGTCAGAAAGAACGACACTTGACGAGAGAATGCGGAGATAACACATGTTGCTAAGCTTCGGTGTCTGGTGTGGTTATCGTCTGGACTCTCCTCATCGCTTTATAAGTCAATCAAACGAGCCCAAGTCTCCAGTTACCTGTCATGGCTCATCTCTTGACACTCGCTCTCGCAAGTCTCGTCTTCGCGCCGACTTCAGCAGCACCTTCTCCTGCTTGGACTTTTGTCCGCAAGGGCAACTCGAGTGTCATTGGACTCGAGGCCATAATCGTCTCGCCGCGCCTGGCGGTGTTCTTCGACAAGGCGACGAATGATCCGTCCACCACTCCTGATGGCAAAGTTGCCTGGGGCGAGCTCTGGGATCTGGAGTCCAATTCTGGGGTGCCGCTCAAGCTTGTTTCCGACACATTCTGTGCGTCTGGTGCATTGCTCAGTAACGGGACGATGGTTTCCGTCGGCGGAACGATCCCTGTAGCCGCTGATTTGAACGCAACTGGAGCGGTAGACGGCCGAATGGGTCTGCGGATGTTTGGACCGTGCTTGGATCCTCCTTCCGGACCGGGTTGCACTGTATTCGAAGATTTGGAGCACATTCATATGGCAGAAACGCGTTGGTATCCGTCCTCGATCAGAATCTTTGACGGCTCTCTGGTGAGCAGCTCTTTCGCGATGTTGGACTGAGAACGCACGCCTGACGCTGTTCGCTTTCAGCTGATTGCGGGAGGCATTCATGAGCAGACTCCATTCTATAACAGAGGCATGTCAGTGGCTCTGCCAGCGATCTCCAAATGCTGATTGGACTTGCAGATCCGGTCAACAACTACGAGTTTTTCCCAGCGAAGGACGGCGGCGTGCCTCGACCGTCTGCTTTCCTCGAGCGCAGTCTTCCTGTCAACCTGTTCCCTCGGTAGGCCCGTCTGCCTCCGGTGGTTTGGCGCTGAAGTCCTCGTTAGGTTATTTGCTTTGCCAGACGGGAAAGTGTTTATGGTTGCCAACAACCAGTCCATCATCTACGACATTGAGGCCAACACGGAAACGATCCTACCCGACCTCCCCAACGGCGTTCGGGTCACGAATCCGATGGACGGAACTGCCCAGCTGTTGCCCTTGTCTCCGCCGCTGTACACGCCAGAGGTCCTCGTCTGTGGTGGATCAAACAAGAGTGATTCAACACCGACGACTGAACTTTCGTCGCTGGATCCCGCTACGTCGCAATGCAGCCGTATCACGCTGACTCCCGCTGGTATCGCCAAGGGATGGGAAATCGAGCATATGCCTCAAGGCCGTACCATGCCAGAGATGATCCCAATGCCCAACGGCGAGATTATCATCATCAACGGTGGCGAGACCGGATATGCTGGATTCAGCTCACTGGGACACACAACAGGCAATTCGAATGCCGACTCCCCGGTGTTCGTCTAATCTTGGCCCGGCATTGCAGACAAGCTGATTTCTTTTTTACAAGATTCACTCCCATTTTGTATACCCCCGATGCAGCTGTTGGCCAGCGGATGAGCCAGAAAGGGCTTCCAGCTACAGACATTCCTCGGTTGTATCACTCTACTGTGACGCTGACCCCGCAAGGGTGAGTGGTCTTCGCTGGTGAAACGCATCCGTTTTCACCGAGGTCTCTTCTAGCAACCTTCTCATTGCGGGCTCCAATCCGAATGTCAATGTCACTTTCGTTCCTCCTGGCCAGCCAGGCTACTCGTCGTACGCTGCACTCGTTGGTTCACACGTTTTTGGTCTCATCCCTGCAGTGAGTTCCGGATTGAAACGCTTGACCCTCCGTACATGATGATGGATCGACCGATCCTCTCGAGTGTTCCAAGCAAAATCCAATACAACCACCACGTATGCGTGTCTTTCTTCCCGGTTTCGTGCATCACTCAGATACTCTGTGCAGTTCAAAATACATCTCAGCATCCCCGCTGGCGTCTCCACTTCGTCTATCAAAGGTGCGTGCACTCATCTCCGCAGTGCTCTGTTCTCATGCGTCCGAATCTTAGTGGCCCTGATGGATCTCGGTTTCTCATCGCATGCTTACCATTCGAGCGCCCGCCTTGTTTTCATGGATGCCACTTTGTCTGACAACAAGCGCACTCTGACTGTACTCAGCCCTCCGAACAACCGAGTTTATCCTCCTGGGCCAGGTTAGCACCTCGATCCTAATTCAAGTCAACCCATTCTGATCTGTATTCCAGCTTACATCTTCGTCACCATTGGGGAGACCACCAGTGTCGGAGCTTACGTTATGGTCGGATCTGGCGCGAATCCCCCGGTTCCAGACCAGGGGTTTCGTTGATGCTGTAGTTAGATAGTGTTTGTCTTGGGCTTCTCGCCACACGCAATGAAGTCGCGCTAGAGTCAATGACCACGCATACGCATCGACTGTGTTTGAAATCCCTGTGCAAACCGTGAATGATAGCGTGAACTTGGAAAGTGGACCGAAAAAATCAGGGCCGCTGATGCAATCCGGGATTGTTCAGAGGAGACATGCCGCATATAAGCGCTTTGTAACTCAGCTAATGCACATTGGATCAATTTATAACACCAGTTGATCAGAACTAAGAAAGCTAAGGCAGGTAAATAATCTAGACCAAGCCCATCCTTGTCACAAACGCGATCAGTCACACACGTGACCCGTCTCTGCTCAATCCGCCACGGTTCTGCCAGTGGGTGATAGTAGCTGTTGTCATGTTAAAACTTACCAACACGTCTCAAAAGTCCCGTTCTTCGTCCGAACCATGTGCAACTTCAAGGAACGCAAGAAGCAAGACTATTTTATCTCTGCTCACCAAATAAGACAACAGTCTTGTCTGGCGCCTATAACCACGGAACTAAGCCTGTCGAAGCGTTTCTGGCAAGTCAGGTAGGTTCAGGTGGACTTCGATTTGAGACAGCAGTCAAACGGGCGACGACGAAGGCAGTCAGTGCGCTGCATTGACGGCTGCGAAGATAAATTCGTTGATGCACACAAGGCAAAAACAGGGAAGGGATCTAGGAAGGACATGCATGTGACACTCAGTGTGCGTTCGTTCTTGTGCGACTTTAGCTCTCCTCACTCTTGCTTTCCCAATCATGATGCGTGTCGCTCAGCATGATTACCTCTAGTGTCGTCTCTTCCTGACGCGAACACTCCCAAGATTGGTGTCGCCTCCGGAAAGGCATTCCCGTCTGTTGAGAAGGACCATGCCACTCGGCCGGATATCAGCTTTGGGAAGCCTGGACTTAAAATCAAGTCGGACGAGTGGAACTTGTCGAACACACTCGTCAGCAACCGGCTCACATCTAAGCGCACGATCGGGTCCATAACGACGCTGGCACGCTCTGCGACAGTGCGTGCAGCTGGAAAACACTCATGCAGTTTGCCAAAGATGCCCGGCGGCTCATGATATACATATAACGGTGTTTTGCGTAAGTTGTCTCCATCGTATGCGACAAGGCGACCCTCTTTCGCTTCGACACGGAAGGTTTCTTGGCGAGCTAGCCATTCCACTGGTTGCGCGAGATAAGGCATCTGCCTGTGTTCTTGTATCGAATCTGATACTAGTCTTCACCATGTGTAAATACATACACTCTCTCAAAGCAATTGCACACTCGGTGCGAAGCTACTGCATCATGCAGACGGATCAAATACTCGCAAGCTCTGAATTCAGCAGTCATCATTACCACCGAGAGTAATTCTAGTTTCTGTCGTGAAGTCTCTCGGCTCACAAAACATTGCGTGTATACTTTGGGAGCATGACACCTAATGCTGCGTTACGATAGTGCAATGATAGTAATATGTGCACACTGATTATCATAATCGTGAGGCTCAGATGCGGCACGTGACCATCTTTCCATCTCAACTCTCATACACACACTCGCAACTTCTATTCCGTGGTGTGTAATCTCTCCTTCTCGTGTTTAGTCGTAGCCGAGTTTTAACCGTCGCCAATAGAATAAAGTCTTCTCTCTGGATAGGCCGCGTGACCCCAATGAACATGGATATTCTCACTCTGGCATCCTTTGCTCTCACCCCTTCCATTGAACATTACGCCTAGAGTGGTACTACAGTATACACGCAATCCACACAAGCTCTGCTTCTCTACAGCATGACCAGTCAGGTTGGGAGCATGACGAAGGCTGCTGTTCTCCGGTCGCCCTTGGCACTCTCATCGAAACTGGTTTTAGAGCAGCCGCTTGAACCCAGTTGTGAGTGATTGCCATGGTCGCTTTCAATCTCCCAGTTGCGCTCATAGCGCTGGCTTCGACTGGAGTATCAGCAGCAGCGTCTCCTGCTTGGTCGTTTGTGCAGAAGGGCACAACGGGGATCGTCGCGCTCGAAGCTATCGTGGTCTCTCCGACGCTCGTCGTGTTCTTTGACCGGGCCGTCAATGATCCACTCAAGACAGCCGATGGCAAAACAGCTTGGGGTGAACTCTGGGATCTGGAGACCAGCACGGGGACGCCGCTCAAGCTGATCTCGGACACGTTCTGTGCGTCTGGCGCGTTGCTCAGTAACGGCACGATGGTTTCCGTGGGCGGGACCACGCCTGAGCCAACAAACCTGAATCACACTGGGGCGGTGGATGGCCGGATGGCTCTCCGGCTCTTTGGACCTTGTTTGGACCCCCCTGCTGGACCGGGTTGCACCGTGTTCGAAGATCTGGAGCACCTTCATATGGAGGAAACGCGCTGGTATCCTTCCTCGATCAGAATCTTTGACGGCTCCCTGGTAGGTGCTCCTCGTTTTCGGGAGTACAATTACTGACGCCTTCAAGATGATTGTTGGTGGAATACATGAGCAGACGACCTTCTACAATACGGGTAGGCTGTTTCGCTTCCCAAGTGATTCTCTGACCTTTCGAGAGCAGATCCCGTGAACAACTTCGAGTTCTTTCCAGCCAAGGATGGCGGAGCACCTCGCCCTTCTGCTTTCCTCGAGCGCAGTCTGCCTGTAAACTTATTCCCTCGGTAGGAAAAGGGTTTCTTGCACTCGACATTTTCGATTTCTCTGACATCATGGCTCAGGGCTTTTGCTTTGCCTGATGGAAAAGTCTTCATGGTCGCCAACAACCAGTCGATCATCTACGATATCGAGGCTAACACGGAAACGATCCTGCCTGATCTGCCCAATGGTGTTCGGGTCACAAACCCGATGGACGGTACCGCTCAGCTCCTTCCGCTGGCGCCACCACACTACATTCCGGAAGTCCTCGTTTGCGGTGGATCTGACAAGAGCGACCAGATCCCTACCTCGCAACTGTCGTCGGAGGATCGGGCGACGACCCAATGCAGTCGCATCACTCTGACGTCAGCTGGGATCGCGAAGGGATGGGAGGTTGAGCACATGCCCCAGGCTCGTGTTCTGGCCGAGATGATACTGCTTCCCAACGGCGAACTCATGATCATCAACGGTGCCGGCTCTGGTTATGCGGGATTCAATGGACTCGGCCACACTACCGGCAATTCGAATGCCAACCATCCCGTGTGAGTGCGGCAAATCTGCCGCAGATTGAACTGACACGCGTTCCAGACTTACCCCGATTCTGTACAAGCCGTCTGCAAACGTGGGCGCGCGCATGACCCAGGTCGGGTTCCCGGCATCGAACATCCCTCGACTGTACCACTCGACCGTGACTCTTACTCCGCAGGGGTGCGTGACTTGTCCGTCGTTGTCCTGCTTTCCACTTACAAAAGCCTTGCCAGTAACATCCTTCTCGCCGGATCGAATCCGAATGCCAACGTCACTCTTGTTCCTCCGGGGCAGCCAGGGTTTTCATCGTAATGTCTTGTCACTCATCATCGGCTCGGTGCTTACCCGAGTAGCGAGTTCCGGGTCGAAACACTGAATCCTCCCTTCATGGGCATGAATCGACCGATACTTTCACAGGTCCCCGCTAAAATTGGATTCAATCAGCGGGTAGGCTCTCCGAGACGCTTGTCCGACGGCATTGACTCATGTCCTCTGGCAGTTTACGATGGGCCTGGACCTCCCCGCTGATGTACGGGCCACCTCCTCTATCAAAGGTCTGTTGCTCAGAATACCTATGTACGGACATCGCTGATACCCCTGCCTTCTTGCCAGTGGCTTTGATGGATCTCGGCTTCTCTTCCCATGGATTCCATTCGAGCGCCCGGCTCGTGTTCATGGATGCCACTCTATCCAAAGACAAGCGCACACTGACTGTTCTCAGTCCTCCCAACAATCGCGTGTACCCCCCAGGTCCAGGTAATCAATCCATCTGCGACAGGAAATGAAAGCTGATTCTTCTTCAGCATATATCTTTGTAACTGTTGGCGAGATGACCAGTGCGGGCGCGCATGTCATGATTGGTTCTGGAGGCGATCCTCCGGTAAAGGATCAGGGAATACCCCTGCCGGTCCAGTGACATGAGAGTAATTGAATCGCTGTAAAGAATAACAATACGTTTCTGCTCAAGAGCGTAGTTTGCCGCCCAGCGCTCACGTGTCAGGCCGCGGCCGAAGCTCACATTCCAAATTAGGACGCTCTCACACGCTTGTCCTTAACTTTCAAGACCTTCTACTCGCACTCTACCTAGTCTTTACACCTTTGAACATGTACGCTCTCATGCAAAGACGATCAAGTGCGCACTTGACCCCGGCTTCAATCTTATCCGCATCTTCATAAACGCGCGACCCCCGAACCTCGCATGCATCGTTGCAGTGCCGCTCAAGGCTTGACCGGGATGTATCATACCCGGCACTTTCCCATTTGCTTCCTGTACCCACTCCCCGCATCTTCGAAGAACCAGCTACCCAGAAAGGAGTCGGAGGAAATGACACGGGTTCGGCCGGTTTCGTGAAATCACTGAGGTTGCAGGAAAAACCGGGTCGGCGCTCCAGGATTCAAGCCGTAGTTCCGCGGTCGGACGACTCTCTCACTGAACTGTCCTTGGCGCTCCCATCGGATGTGCCTTTTAAGCAGGCGTTTAGCGCCTGACTTTAGACGCGCATTGCATAGAGGATGGGTGCTCCGCTCAAAGTCACGTTCGCGACGCTCGCCGTCATCGTATCCGCCCTTGCGGCCCCGTCTCCTGCCTGGAACTTTGTTGAAAAGGGGGTCTCTGGGATCATCGCGCTCGAAGCGATCGTTGTGTCCCCGAAGCTCGTCGTGTTCTTCGACCGCGCGACGAACGACCCCCTCAAGACCGCAGATGGCAAGACGGCATGGGGCGAGCTTTGGAACTTGGAGACCAACACCGGAACACCGCTCAAGCTCGTTTCGGACACTTTCTGCGCCTCTGGTGCGCTTCTCAGCAACGGCACGATGGTCTCCGTCGGCGGGCACATCCCCGCAGCTGCCGACCTGAATCAGACTGGGGCAGTGGACGGTCGGATGGGTCTCAGGCTGTTTGGACCGTGTCTTGACCCTCCTTCCGGAGCTGGCTGCAGCGTGTTCGAAGACTTGGAGCACGTTCATCTGGCTGAAACTCGATGGTACCCCTCGTCCCTGCGAATCTTCGATGGATCTTTGGTACTTTTTCATCTCTATTCCTTGTTGATGTGTAACTGTTGATTAGATGATCGTCGGTGGTATTCACGAAGAAACGCCTTTCTACAACACGGGTCAGTCGAATGCATGTGCTGTTCAGTCTCGCAGTCTCTAACTCATCATTCCCGATAGATCCGGTGAACAGTTTCGAGTTTTTCCCATCTAAAGATGGCGGTGTCCCACGACCTTCCGCGTTCCTCGAGCGCAGCCTCCCTGCGAACTTGTTCCCTCGGTGGGTGTTGCAAGCGTTCCATGTCAAGCTTCTCAACTTGTGCAGTGTTTTTGCTCTGCCTGACGGCAAAGTCTTCATGATTGCAAGCAACCAGTCCATCATCTACGACATCGAGGCGAAGACAGAGACCATCTTGCCCGACCTGCCCAATGGTGTTCGAATCAACAATCCCATGGACGGGACCGCTCAGCTTCTGCCGTTGTCCCCGCCGGATTACGTTCCAGAGGTGCTTGCGTGCGGTGGATCAGACAAGAGCGACCAAACTCCCGTGGAGGAACTGTCGTCGCAAGATCCCGCTTCTTCGCAGTGCAGCCGCATCACTCTGACACCGGCTGGTATCGCCAAGGGCTGGGAAGTCGAACATATGCCGCAAGGCCGTATGATGCCAGAGATGATCATCATGCCCAATGGGCAGATCACCATAATCAACGGCGGCGAGACAGGTTATGCTGCCATCAAATCGATTGGCATAACGACTGGAAACTCGAATGCCGACCATCCAGTGTAGGTTCACCCATTTCTGTTGAGACATAGCTGATGATAACACCAGGCTGACCCCGATTCTGTATACACCTTCTGCACCATTGGGCCGGCGCATGTCCCAGGCGGGGCTTCCGACGACCAACATCGCTCGCATGTATCATTCGTCGGTCACCCTAACGCCCCAAGGGTGAGTGGTGCTAGCTACTACATGAACTAGCACAAGGTCGATTGATTGTTCGACAGCAATATCCTTCTTGCTGGTTCAAACCCCAATGGAAATGTCACAGTTCTCCCTCCAGGACAGCCAGGTTTCCCTTCGTGAGTTCTCTGCGCAGCACTCCCAAAGTCTGAGGTTCATTATATTCCAGGGAGTTCCGAGTGCAGACACTCGATCCCCCGTTCATGACGATGGCCCGACCAATCCTGGCCAACGTTCCTACTCACATCGGGTTCAATCAGCATGTATGTTTTTCATCAGAGCGCGGACTTTTCCTCAAAGCTGGCAGTTCACGATCCAAATCAGCGTGCCTGCTGGCGTTTCCACCACCTCCGTCAAAGGTTCTCGCCCTCCGTTCATCGTTTTGCTCGTTTCTGATTCCGAGGTTCTCAGTGGCTCTGATGGATCTCGGCTACTCGTCACATGCATTCCACTCGAGTGCCCGGCTCGTTTTCATGGACGCCACGTTGTCCAAGGATAAACGTTCTCTGACTGTGCTCAGCCCACCGAACAATCGGGTCTATCCGCCTGGTCCAGGTCGGTCTAGCATAGATCTGACACAAGGCCGAGAGCTGATGGCCTCCATTCTAGCGTTCATCTTTGTCACGATCGGAGAGACGACGAGTGCCGGAGCTCACGTCATGGTAGGATCTGGGGCAAACCCCCCGCTCGTGGACCAAGGAGTTCCACTGTCGATTTGAGTTACTTGACAATGGGACAATCACTTGAAATAGTACAATTGAATTAAATGGTCTTCATCTCATGACCGGTTAAACCACCTGTAAATCCCAAATAACAGATTAAGTACTCTACATACTTAATACAAGCGAGAAATGATGTTTCTACGCGTTCAGAAAATTTCAAATGTCATTAGCTTCATGACCCGCAATGACCGATGACAACAATTTTAGAGGTTCAGTTCATGACCCTCGATGACCGATGACATGAACTTATGGTCGAAATGCAACAGTATACATACATGGTGTACAACCCTTGACTCTGACCGCTTCGATCCAAGTTCTTCACACCCTGAATTCACAAATGTTCGTTCCTGTTGTTTCTCTCGTATCGAATCCCTCACGGCTGGATCGTCGGTATATATAGTGACTCGCGGACGCAAACCGTTCAGTCTCTCCACGATCGGAATGTCTTTAGTTGGCCTCTTTGGCTTCCTCCAAGTCGGGATTGCCCTGGTCTTCGCCTCGTAGGCTCTTTCCATGGAGCACCCCCAAAAATCAAGTGCGTAACACATGCGCAGGCTTGCAGGACCCATCGGCGGAGTCACGTGCCATGCAACGTCATAGGCTGAATAGAGCCACCCTCTGTACGTACGTCTTTTGCTGATATGCACCCCTGCTTTCTGGTGGCTCCCGTCGGTCGCGGCTTCTCTTCCCATGAGCTCCAATCGAGTGTTCGGGGCCGCCTATGTCCAGGGATAAGCGCGCACTGACTGCTCTCAGTTCTCCTTGTGATTCCGCGGAGCCTGGGGTCAAGTAATAACATCGCACGTCACTGATCTGTGGGATGCATGGTTCAAACTCGACAGAAATGACCGTCGCCGAGATGGCCAGTGCGAGTGCTCATGTGATGGTTCCGGAGGATAACTCCCCGATACAAGAAGAGAGGATTCCATTGTCGATCTAGAGGCACGAAAGTCATTGGATGCGTCAGAAGAGCCATGCTGTAAATCCGCGAAGAAGTTAATACCATTCAGAGTTGTCCAATGGAGTAATCGCTCACGTGTCCAACTGCCGCCGCTGTCACACTCTCAATTCGACTTTCCTTGAAGGCATTTCATCCAGTTCAGCCAGTCTCTCATCTCGTGCGCTCTGATGCCCGAACGCGCAATTGAACTTGACTCCAATCGAATCCGCATCTCCACGAACACGAATGTTACAAGCCTCTCATGCTTTGTTGCGTTGCCGCTCACTGGCAGGGCTTGGCCGGGATGCAACCATACCCGGCACTTCCCAAGTTGCTTCCGGTACCCACCCCCTATGCCTTCGGAGAACTTCCAAGCCTGGAACTAGCCCGAGAACAGGGCACGAGGTCGATCGGTTTTGTGAAGACCAGTGAGGTTGCAGACATGACCAAGACGGCGCTCAAAGGGCTCTTGCCACAGTTCCACGGTCGGGCGACTTTCTGACTGAGCTGCGCTTGGCACTCTCATCGGTCGTGCTTTATAAGTGAGCGTACGGAGCCCCAGTTAAGACGCGTGTTGTATACAACATGGGTCGTGCACTCAAAGCCGCGTTCGCGACACTCGCCGTCATCGTATCCGCCCTTGCGGCACCGTCTCCTGCCTGGAAATTTGTTGAGAAGGGTGTGTCTGGGATCGTTGCGCTCGAAGCGATCGTGGTGTCCCCGAAGCTCGTCGTGTTCTTCGACCGTGCATCGAACGACCCCCTCAAGACCGCCGACGGCAAGACGGCATGGGGCGAGCTTTGGAACTTGGAGACCAGCACCGGGACCCCGCTCAAGCTGATTTCGGACACTTTCTGCGCCTCCGGGGCACTGCTCAGCAACGGCACGATGGTCTCCGTTGGCGGGAACCTTCCTGTGCCTCCTGACTCGAATCAAACTGGTGCGGCGGACGGTCGGATGGCTTTCAGGCTGTTTGGACCGTGTCTTGACCCGCCTGCCGGAGCTGGCTGCAGCGTGTTCGAGGACTTGGAGCACCTTCATCTGGCTGAAACTCGGTGGTACCCCTCGTCCCTGCGGATCTTCGATGGATCTTTGGTACGCTTGATCTATCGCGTTATCTTTGCGCGTCTAATCATTGGTTAGATGATCGTCGGTGGGATTCACGAAGGCACACCTTTCTACAACACGGGTCAGTCGAATGCATGTGCTGTTCAGTCTCGCAGTCTCTAACTCATCATTCCCGATAGATCCGGTGAACAGTTTCGAGTTTTTCCCATCTAAAGATGGCGATGTCCCACGGCCTTCTGCATTCCTCGAGCGCAGTCTGCCTGCGAACTTGTTTCCTCGGTGGGTTTAACAACCGTCCCATGCCAGGCTTCTGAACTGCTGCAGTGTTTTTGCTCTACCTGACGGCAAAGTCTTCATGATTGCGAGCAACCAGTCCATCATCTACGACATCGAGACAAAGACGGAGACCATCTTGCCCGACCTGCCCAATGGTGTTCGAATCAACAATCCCATGGACGGGACCGCTCAGCTTCTGCCGTTGTCCCCGCCGGATTACGTTCCAGAGGTGCTTGCGTGCGGTGGCTCAGACAAGAGCGATCAAACTCCCGTGGAGGAACTGTCGTCGCAAGATCCCGCTTCTTCGCAGTGCAGCCGCATCACTCTGACACCGGCCGGTATCGCCAAGGGCTGGGAAGTCGAGCATATGCCGCAAGGCCGTATGATGCCAGAGATGATCATCATGCCCAATGGGCAGATCACCATAATCAACGGGGGAGAGACGGGTTATGCTGCCATTAAATCGATTGGCATAACGACTGGAAACTCGAATGCCGACCATCCAGTGTGGGTGCACGCATTTCTGTCGAGACCCAGCTGATGATAACACCAGGCTGACCCCGATTCTGTATACACCTTCTGCGCCATTGGGCCGGCGCATGTCCCAGGCGGGGCTTCCGACGACCAACATCGCTCGCATGTACCATTCTTCGGTCACGCTAACGCCTCAAGGGTGAGCGGCGCTACTACATGAACCAGCACAAGGTTGGCTGAAGCTTTGACAGCAATATCCTACTCGCTGGTTCGAACCCCAATGGGAATATCACCGTTCTCCCTCCAGGACAGCCAGGTTTCCCTTCGTGAGTTCTCTGCTCAGCACTCCCAAAGTCTGAGGTTCATTATATTCCAGAGAGTTCCGAGTGCAGACCCTCGATCCCCCATTCATGACGATGGCCCGACCAACCCTGGCCAATGTTCCCACTCACATCGGGTTCAATCAGCATGTACGGTTTTCATCAGAGCGTGAGCTTCTTCTCACAGCTGGCAGTTCACGATCCAAATCAGTGTGCCTGCTGGTGTTTCCACCACATCCGTCAAAGGTTCTCGTCCTCCGTTCATCGTTTTGCTCGCTTCTGATTCCGAGGTTCTCAGTGGCTCTGATGGATCTCGGCTACTCGTCACATGCGTTCCACTCGAGTGCCCGGCTCGTTTTCATGGACGCCACGTTGTCCAAGGATAAACGTTCTCTGACTGTGCTCAGCCCACCGAACAATCGGGTCTATCCGCCTGGTCCAGGTCGGTCGAGCGTTGATCTGACACAAGGCCGAGAGCTGATCGCCTCCATTCTAGCGTTCATCTTTGTCACGATCGGAGAGACGACGAGTGCTGGAGCTCACGTCATGGTAGGATCCGGGGCAAACCCCCCGCTCGTGGACCAAGGAGTTCCACTGCCGATTTGAGTTACTCGATAATAGCGCAATTACTCGAAATAGTACAATCGAATTGAATGACCTTCATCTTATGACCGATTAAATGGAGTTCGTGTGCTGTGGCATGGGAAAATGCGTGCGAATGCCTTTCTTTGATTTTAAGATCAGGGCTCGATGGGCCTGAATCACATTCATGGAGCAGAACCCATCATATCAATCATAGGGATAAGTAAAGGTACAAGACTGCATGGAGGCAATCCTCCCTCCAAACCTTGACTTGATATACATGAGGGTAACCAATTGTTATGTTATCTAGTATATAGCACCATAAAAAAAAGGTGCAAGACCGGCAAACATTGTTGGTGGTGAGGTGATCAGGGAATTATTCCAAACCCAGGACTCAGATCAGCTCCTGAGTGAGACATTTTATATATCATTTTCCATCACACATGTACATACCTCAGTCACTTCACTCTCACTGACTGAGATACATGCTCCCACCCTACAGTTCCTACCAGATTGGATTTCCCATACCTGTAGACCAATCTATGTTATCTCATCTACAGGTAGTTACATAACAAGTCACTTCACTCTAACAAGCTAAGATTAATCTATGTTATCTTGTCTAAAAACATAAGATAGGCAACATGCAGATCTATCTGTTAGAACCTAGACACAAATGTATAACTCAGTCCGTGGTTGAGCGTACTCTGGAGGCTGGTACCTAGACACAAATGTATAACTAGTCTAAGTGTTTAGCCACAATGGTTCCTTCACTAGTGCAGCAGGAAGGCTTACCTCAGTACGTTGAAATGCTGAGGGTGCGCTCACAAGTGAATCTACTGTGAAAGTAAACCCAAATATAAACATGTTCACACTCCTTGTAATCAGCTTCTCAGTGAGTGAAAGATGCGAGGGCTTTGGGGTGGACAGAACACCAGAATCACAACTCTCAATAGACGCAGGATCCAATAGTCATGGAAGACAGAGTTGACGCGCAAGAATTTATATAGCCAATAATGGTGTCTCAACCAATATCTTCTATACAACCCAAACCAACACTAATCCAACCACAACCAACAATATCACAAGTCAGAACTTAATACAAAGTATTAAGGTCTGTTGATCAAATATCATCTGTCAAGATGGATGTTGTGATACACATCTATGACTCCATCACGTGTCATCTAGAGTCATGTCAACTCGTCTCAAATAGACACAAACAGCCCCCTGTATCATATATAAGGAGGGCTCTATTACCCTTTAATATAAGTCTCTTGACTACTCCCGCATAGTGCCCACACTAAGCTCTCAACTCACACAGGTGGGTTGCTAGACGCTCTCCCCAGTGCTCAACAGGTTATGGTCTGCGCCTTAGTGGCCGCGACATTCATTGTATGTGCCGTCACTGGCTGCAACAATGAGCAGCATCTTTAGCCTATCTGTATTCACTTCAGCTGCTGCATAAGCACTGGTGAAACCATGCCGGATCACGATTACATCGCTTGATCCAGATGCATCAATCTCTAAAGAAGATTATGATCTATGAGGATCTGATCATCTTGATCTTTGATTTTATCTATCAGATTAGATTGATGCTGATTCACTCACACAGATCAATATGTCGTCCAACTCCAACAACATCTTCAATGCTGTCTCCATCTTTGATGGAAAGCACTGGCTTGTCTGGTCCGGAACTATGGAGTCCTATCTGGAACATCAGGGGATCTCATATGTGCTGACCAAAACTGTGCCAACTGAAGTCAAAGCATCTGATGGCTCTGTGTCCAATGCATTGGAGATCAAGCAATGGAAGCATGATGACCTCAGAGCCAAAGGCAGCATTAAGTTGCGCCTAACTGAAGGTGTCATTGCTAACATTCCAACTGCCAAAATAGTGTCAGCTGCAAAGATCTGGGGGCATCTGAAGACCCAATACGGTGGTGCTCAGTGCGCCAACCTGTATGCGTACTTCTAAGCCGCGTTGAATGCCAAGTACAACATGGGGTTGCACCTGGATCCACAGCTGCTGGTGATCACTACGGTGTTCACTTGCCTGGAGAATGAGTCTTTGAGCATCCCTGAATTCCTCAGGGCGATGATCATTCTCAATATAGCTTGGATTCCCTCTGTCACTGAGACTATTCTGCAGACTTATGACAAGGACGAGATCAAAGTCTTGGTGGTTCGCGATGCTCTCTGGACGCATTTTGCTCAGAAGCAGTCTCAAAGCCAGAATCATGTGGCCAAGTTCAATACCAAGCGCAAGTGCAATGACCCTTTGTTCACCAATCAGCAACAGGGCTCCGGCTCTGCACCCGATAAGGGTGATAAAGCTGATGGAAAGAAGAAGAACTGTTGAGGCAAGCGTAGTGGGAAGAACAAGGACAACAAGGGTAAGGGCAAGGCTGATCATGGTCATGTCCATGGTGTCTCCAAGATCACTGGCTCCCTCACTATTGGTTCGATTACCTTGCTCACTCCGTCTATCCCTGCGCCAACAATCTTGCATGTCATGCACATCTCTTGTGATGGACCCAAAATCTGCATGGTTCAAGAGAAGTCTCCCGTTAACAACAATGGGATTATTGACACCAAGTTCCAGAAGCCTACTCGCAAGGTCTTTGAGCTTGCCAAGAAGATGGACATGACGGTGACCACAGAATGCTTCCGGACTCTCGACAAGATTGTCAATGAGAAAGGAATGCTCTGGGAGGACGCAATCATGCGTTCTCCATCTCTGGTTGCTTCCGGCTTGAATCACACTCTGGATGGTGGTCCTCCTGCCAAACGCAGTCGTATCGAGGAGATCCCCGACGTTGAGATGGCCACTGGCCAACAGAACGATCTTGATCTTCTGTTTGGAGATAGCGAGTTTGCCCAGGCTGAACCAGTCAATTGGGATGAGGTCATTGACTTCAGCACCCTTCTGGAGGAGATGGACGCTCCTTCTGCTGAAAGGCAAGTACCCTGCCTTCTTGGGCATATGCACAATTCTGATTGTTGCTCACAGCCAGAGCACGTAATCACCACCGCCCCAGGTTCTGTACTAAATTTGTTGATGATTTGTTCGCATGATTTTTGTACCAATCTATTCTGTGTGCACTCCAATTTTGCTGCCTGCTCCAAGTGTAAAGGGAAACATCATCATCATCATGAATTAGGGCCTCTATGGCTTCTTGATTCTGGTGCATCTCTCCATGTGAGTTCGGAGATTAGTGATCTGGTGTGACAATCAACAAGAAATAATGTCAAAAAGAGAAGTCAATTCAAAGACTGGAGAATACAACCAAGTAGCTACAGTATTTATACCCAAATCCAGTCTGAGTCATATCTACAACTAATGAGTCATAGGGCTATGTACCACATGGAATGCTGGTCATGGGTTGTAGTAGAACCTTCCGGAGCATATGTCGCGCAGCCTTGAATCGATAAAGATGAACCCTGTTCCCCTAGTCCGGACTGTCAGATGCCGTGATCCGTGATAAGATAATCCGTGTTGAGATAAGATGAGATCGTTGAGGATAAGATGAAAAAGAGTCGAATTATGGCATTACCCCCTCTCTAGGGTCAATGTTCTCATTGACTGGGCCAATGGGTGTGAAGACGTTTTTGTAAGGGTTGAAGAGTTGTCATCAGGGATATGAGAGGCGCTCATCTTTGGGTTTGTAGCAATGAATGAGATAATCCCAGTGTCTGGCTTTGAGCGTCGGCAGGAGGCAAATGCGTGTGTCTGCGTTGGATTGTTTCCTCTGCCAATCTCTGAGGACCTTCTTTGCATGGGTAAGATGACATGATGGTTCCCAGGTATTTTTGCTATGTGGCCATCCCTTCCATTTGACCAAGTACTGCTTCCCTCGGCTGACCTTTTGTTCCTTCACAATTTCTTTGACTTCCCACTCTTCTGCTCCTCCAATCATCTTGGCTAACGGTCTCTTCTCTCGGCGATGGGGGGGTGGTTTGTGATAGGGTGTCAACAGTGACTCGTTGAACACCAGGTGTCTCTGGTCCGTGTCTGGCAAATCCAGCTTCCATGCAGCCGCTCCAACCTTCTCCAATATCTTGTATGGTCCCAATCTCTTGTCGCTCATCTTCTTCGATGGTCTATCTGTCTCGATATTGTCCCCTTCTATGTACACCTTCATTCCAATCTTCAACTCCGGAACTTCTTTTCTTTGTTTATTGTAGTATTTCTTCATTTTTTTTTTTGCTTTTTCTAGTGCTGCTTTTGCTTCGTCTTGTATTTCTTTGATTCTTTGTACAAATTCCTTCGCCGACTTGTTTCTTGATTCCATCCGCTGCTCCACTCCCTTCCATGGGTGATATCCATGATTTGCATAGAACAGTGATATTTTGGTAGACATGTTCATTTTGTCATTATATGCAAACTCCACCATTCCCAGCCACTCTGACCAGTCCGTTTGATGGTAATTGACGTAGATGCAGAGATAGTGCTCGATCTCCTGATTCATGTGTTCTGTTTGTCCATCCATGATTGGGTGATATGCGGTCCCCGGATTCATTTCCACACCCAACATCCAATTCGTTTCCTTCATGAAGCCCTTGATATATCGTGAGTCCCTGTTGGTGATGATCTTGCGAGGGATCCCGTGATAGCGGAAGACTCGGTCCCTGGTTAACCGTGCTACTCCTTTGCTGCTGATGTCAGTACTAATTGGTTCAACATGGATCGTTTTGGTGAAGGTGTCACACCACACATGAATTGCATCATACCCATTACTGACTGGTTAGGGTCCGATTTGGTCCATTGAGATGATTTCCCATGGTACGTTTGGGACTGCATGTGGGTGCAGAGTCCCTCTCCTTGCTCTTCTAGTCTTGGTCCGTTGGCACACCTTGCACGTCTGGATGTATTTCCGAATTTGGTTTCCCATCCTTGGCCACCAGTAGTTTCTTTCCACCATCTCTTGTGTTTGGTTGATCCCAGCGTGTCCCACCAAAGGTGTGTTGTGGTGTAGTCCAATGATCTTGTCCCGCAATTCCTTGTTTCTTGGCATGTAGAGCTTCCCATGATACGTGATAAGCCCCTCTTCCTTCTTCCATCCAACGAGTGACTTCTCCAAGGCCGCCTTGAGGCTTCCATCAATTGATTGAATAGCCTTGATTTTGTCGATCAGCTGCTGATCTTGCCCCTTGAATGCAACTTCTTGCAATCGGAAGAACTTGGGCTTCAGCAGGGTGACGTCCTTGTTGTCATTCTTGCCCTGGTCATGATCTGCTCATCGAGATAAGAGATCTGCCTTGCAGTTGAGTGCGCTGGGTCAGTGTCGTAAGCTGAAATCAAACTCCGCCAACTCCGCGATCTGCTTGCCGTCAATTGAGCTTCTGCGGCTTCCGGAAGTACTCAAGATTCTGATGATCGGTGAAGATCTCGAACATTTCCGTGGCTCCCAGTAATAACTGCCTCCATTCGTCCAATGATAGCATGATTGCAAGCATTTCCTTGTCGTAGATCTCATAATTTCGCTTGGTTTCGGTCAATGCGTGCAAAATAAATGCGATTGGGCGCCAAATGCCGTCTTGGTTTTGGCTCAAAACAGATCCTGTTGCCCCTTCCAAAGCATTGGCTTCCAGATGATATTGGCCAGTGTTGTTTGGCAGTGCTAGGACCGCATCCTCCGCGGTTCTCTTCTTCAATCCATCGAATGCCGCATGTTCATCTATACCCCATGACCATCCTGCCTTCCCTGTCAGCCGTGTCAACAGCTTGGCAACCTCCACATATCCCCGGACAAAGTGTCGATAGAAGTTGGTGAACCCTAGGAAAGCTTGGACTTGTTTGATGCTCTTTGGTTCGGGCCATTCCATCACGCCCTTGATCTTGACTGGGTCCATCTGCATCAAATTGTGTCCAATAATTACACCTAGATATTCGATTTCCGTGCATTCAAACTCGCATTTTTTGGGTTTCAGGTACAGCTTGTGTTTTTGGAGCAATTCGAGTACTTGTTTTGTGATCCGCCAATGTTCGTCCAAGTTCTCTGTGAAGATCAATATATTGTCAAGATAAACTACCACGTGGCCCTTGTTGATCAGTTCTCAGAGTATGTTGTTCATCATGTTTTGAAAGGTTGCCGGGAAATTTCAAAGAACATGACCAAGGGCTCGTACAGTCTGCGGTTTGTGTGGAACGCAGCCTTCCACTTGTTGCCCTCTTTGATCTGTACATTGTTGTATCCCCACCGGATGTCAAGCTTGGTGAAGAACTTGGCACCACATAGATTATGGACCAGTTCGGAGATCAGCGGTAGCAGGTATCGATTTCGGATCGTCATCTCGTTCAGCTTCCGATAATCCTGCACGGGGCGTAGCAAGCCATCCTTCTTTTTGACAAAGAGGAATGCTGATGCCATGGGTGATTTTGATGGTCTGATCCGTCCACTGGCCGGGTTCTCTTGTAGGAATTTGTCGAGTTTGACCTGTTTGTTTCGTGACAGTGGGTAAACCTTGCAGTCCACTGCTTTGGAGCCTGGTTTGAGTTTGATTGCATGGTCCCAGGTTCGTCGGTCCGGTAGTGAGTCGAATGATTCCTTGGCAAATACTTTGACAAATTCCCGGTATTGATCCGGAATCTTCCCCTCGGTCATCCTCTCCTTCTCTTTTTCCGCTTCTTCTGCGAATTTCTGCGCCGGTGTTTCCTTCAACTGTAGATCCACCTCCTTTCCAAAGTTGATCAACAGGATTGATTCTCCCTCTTCCAGATCCGGTGCGCCCATGTCCAGGTCAATTGCATCCATGTCGATCATTGCTTGGTGCTCCTCGTGACCCCTCATGTGACACCGCTCTGGGCATCGGCTGAATCTCATCGTCTGCTCCTGCCAATCCACCTTGGGGTTGTGTTCTGTTAGCCAATCAAGGCCGATGAAGATCTGAGCTTTTCCTAGACATGTCAGAAGGAATGTGCGGGTCTCCACATGAGGACCAATTCCCATCCTCAAGTCAACGTAATTCGTGATCCGGCCACTGATGTTCTTGGTGTTGTCAGCATTATGAGCCACTATGGGTTGCGGAAGTTCTTGGATATCCAGTTTCTCTGCCCGTGCGTAGTTGGTATTGATGCAACAGGTACTACAGCCACTATCCAACAGTGCTTTGACTCCGCGCGTTTTCCCCGAGTCCAGGCCTGTGATCTGGACATATACGTCCATCGAATGCCTCTTCCTTTTGGCCTGGTAGTTGCGCAATTCTTGTGCCAGTCTGCTGGGCTGGGGGCCCTTCTGCCTCTCAGCCGCCAATTTCCTCTGGACAGCATCTGGCACCCTTGTGCGTTTGGGTGCTTCTGGAATCTTGATTTTGGCAGATCCCTTAGGCGCTTCCTCCTTTTCCAAGGATCGAGCCTCCGGAGCGATGCTCCCCTTTTTGGTCTTTGTTTACGTGGTTTCTTCTCTACGAGCCATAAATACATAGGAGTCCAAAAATAATTTATCCGCAGCCGCTATCTTTTGATCCTTTTTATCTTGTAAATATTTTCTATTTAGAGCTATTTTTTTGTTGCATTCTTTTTCCATTTTGGCAACAAGAAACTTGTGAATATTTGTACGTAGTGAGTCCGGGAGCGTGTATATATGATGAGGCATATTGTTCATATTTTTAATTGAAACAAGTACAGAAAATTGTCCATAGTCCGGATGCTCCACCTCCTTGGCTAGAGGAGTGGAGTGCTTCAAAAACCCTTCTCGCGTAGCTTCTCGGCAATCTCCTTGAGGAACTCATTGTCCTTGTCCCTGTTCTCGATCTCTTCAAGCATCGTGGCCCGATTGAAGAATGTGCGCTTCTTCCTTGGCTCTGGGCAGTTCCGCGCAATGTGCCCAGGCTGCTGACAGTTGTAGCAGATGATATTGTGGCTGCGGGCATGGGTGCAATTGATTTCCATTGGAACCGGTTTGTTGGCAGCAGGTCGGTTCGGAGCGGATGCGGGTGCTGCTGGGGTGGCTTGAGGCCGGAACTGGGGGGGTGATCGTGGTGTGGAGTGCCCATACAATGCTTTGCGCAGCTGATCACGCAGAGTGTTTGCCTTGATGTTGATACGCCAGTCCTTGAAGGCACCATACACCTTGGGCAAAGGGACACCGGTGTTGTAGAGGCAACTCGCAATCTTGCTGCTCAGCCCGCGCTCAAGGAACTCAATAAGGATGTTGTCTTGATCCCCCTTCTTGTACTCGCCCTTGTCATTGGTGGTGGTGACCACGTTGTACGCTGCATCCCCGGCCAACATCTTGAAGTCGGAGATATAATCTGCAAAGGAGCATTTGTTTTGGCACAGGGCCATGAGTCGAGCAGCAGCAACTTGTTCTGCATTGGTATCCCCAAAGGCCCTCTGAAGCTCCTCTAAGAAGGTCTTTGAGGTGACCCCAGCCTTCAGTCCATTAAGGCTTTCAAAGTTGCACTGTTTCCAGTTCATTGCCCATCTCGAGGCAGCGCAACTTGTGCCGGCCTCGTTGCAGAGGTAGGAGAGGATGAAGAGGATTTTTGTCTCATCCTGCAAGAATTCTGACCAATAGGCACCGATGTAGGTGGTGCACGAGTCCATGAAGCCTATATATTTGGACTTGTCCCCATCAAAATAGGGGGGATTGGCAGCAAGAGTGATGTGATGGTGACCTGACATAGTAGGAGCAGGTTGTCAGGGGAACTGTCAGGGGAACCCCCTCTTCTGATTGATCAGCTTGGGATCTGGCATGTGATCGTGCTCGCGTGACCTGTCAGCTGTCACGTACCGCGGCCCGGACTGCCGTGCTGAGCGCTTCTCTCTGATGGGCACATGGTCAGGTGTCCCATTGTTCCCACTGTCTCGGTTTCCTATTGTTCTCCAAACGGCCATTGTACTTATTATTCCCATTGTTCTTTGTTTGTCGCTGCGTGCTCTATTTTTCTTGTATCATATAAATAGTGGCGCCTGGCAAGGAGAATCCCCAACACGGTTTCTCTTTGGATTCTCCCTTGCCAGGTATGCCGGTCTTGTACCTAGCTACCACTATTAACACTTTGGATTCTCCCTTGCCAGGACTCTGACATCGGGCCTCAAGGTTGCCCTTACAGCAGAAACTGTGTTCCTAGAGATAACCGGACAAGATTGCGAGGTTTGACGCTGACGCCAGTGGAGAAGAGTCGACAAGCGACCAAGACCACCACTCCCTCACCTCCTATCTTGCCCCCTCCTTCCCTCCACAAGCAGACCTGATGAGCATGGAAGACCACGACCAGCAGCGGCTGTCCGCTCTGGAGACCAGCATAACGAATATCGAAGCCGTGCTCACCCGGCTCATCACCCAACAACAACAACCGCCCCCTGCCCCTGCCCCTGCTCCAGCTCCGGCAGCGGGTCCAGGTGTTTCTGCTGGCGCTAACTCTGCGCGCCCTCTCATCCGTCCAAACCCCCCTTTCGTCTTTGATGGGGATCGCACCCTGGGCAAGAGCTTCTTGCACTCCGTGAAGCAGTACTGGCAGCTGCTTCCTGAGGCGTTCTTCGAGAACGGGGTAGTCTCGGAGGAAAAGGTAGTCCGTTTTGCCCTGTCCTACATGTCCAAGGACTCTGCGGCTTCCTGGTCCGAGCGCATGTCTGAGCGCACCCCGTTCCCCTTCCCCACTTGGACTCTCTTTGTCACCAAGTTCAAGCTCCGATTCGTTGAGGAGAACGAGCAAGACCACGCCCTGGCGTGACTGGAGACCCATCTATATTATATGGGCTCGCAAGATGTGTTCAAGTACATGGACGAGTACGACGACCTCCTTGACCTCGCCGGTTATACCGATAACCTGGTCAAGGTGACCAAATATAGGACCGGCCTGGATCCGAAGATCAACCAGGCCATCGCCACCTCTGGCAACTCTCCCAGCCTCACCGACTATGCCAAATGGCGTGTCCGTGCTTTCCGGCAGTACAATGCGGAAATTGCTGCCAAGGCATCTCGGGGGCATGCTGCCCCTCCCCCTCGGGCACCTCCCATTGCCCAACGTCCTCGTGCCCCGGTGCTCCCTGCTGTAGCACCGGCTGTTGCCGCCCACCTGGCGCCGGCCCCTGTTGCCCACCCTGTTCCCATGGAGGTCGACCAAGCCTGGCTCCGCGGTGATGTTCGCCATACCTGCTTCCGCTGCGGCAGTCCGGGACATCTTGCCCGTGACTGCCCCACCCCAGCTGACATCCGTCACGCTGATGTCCTTGACAAGGTCATCAATCAGCTGGGAAGTGAGTTGCTCTCCGAGTTGGTCGCTCGGGTAGCGACTACTGCAGCCGTCGCAGAACACGCGGCCGATGTCGCGGCTGAGGTGGAGCAGGGTTTTCTCCCCAGCAACGAGTGAGTAGTACGCCCTCGTTTGCTTCACGTAATCGTTTCTCCTGTCTGTATGATGAATCCAATTCCCTCCACTCTGCAACAGTTGAAACAATAGACATACACCCTGCCCCGCCTCCGACCCCACGAGTCCGTAAGGAGAAGTGGGAACGCAAGCTCCCTTCCTGCTATGTCGCTGCGGCTTCCCCTGGCCATAACTCCCTTCACCTCCCGCTGGAGATCGAGTCCACCGATAACGCGGTGAAGCTATCTCTAGACGGCCTGGTCGATTGTGGTGCTACCTCTGACTTCATTGACTCAGACTACGTCCTTGCCAGTCACATCCCCGTTCGACGACTCACCCAGCCAATCCCGGTCTACAACGTGGACGGCACGCCGAACGAGGCCGGTTCCATTCGCGAAGTTGCTGATGTGGTTCTCCGTTACCAGGGCCACAGTGAACGCGTGCAGCTTGCTGTCACCCGTTTAGGCAAGCAACGGCTCATTCTAGGGTACTCCTGGCTTTGGAAGCACAACCCAGAGATCAACTGGGATACTCAGGAGGTAAAGATGAGCCGCTGCCCTTCCGGCTGCTCCACCTGCCGGGAGGAACTTTGTGAAGAACGTCAATCTACCAGAACCGCGGCCCGGGTACTCTGAACCATCTGCCAAGGCCCAGCCCCATCAATCTGCGCTGTCGACGTCGAGGACCACGAGGACAAGGAGATGCCCGAGCTTGAGCCTGACTGGGATGAAGATGACGCTGATGACGACGACTCCTTGGAAGCCGGTGACCGTATCTTTTACACCCGCTTCACCCCTTCTGAAAGCATCCAAGCCACTAGCACCGTCTCTCAGCGACTTGCCGAGGTGTTTGCCAAGAACTCCGCGCCTCCCCGGGACTCCATCCCCGAGTGGGCACGTGAATTCGAGGATGTTTTCAGCAAGGAGTCCTTCAACAACCTGCCAGAGCAATGCCCCTGGGATCACGCCATTGAACTGGTCCCCAACGCAAAGCCGACCAACTGCAAGGTCTACCCGATCTCTCCTCTTGAACAGAAGCAGCTCGACGACTTCATCGAGGAGGGTTTGGCCACTGGCAGGATTCGGCCGTCAAAATCACCCATGGCATCCCCCGTCTTCTTTGTGAAGAAGAAAGATGGCAGCTTACGGTTTGTCCAAGATTACCGAGCACTGAACGCGATGACAGTGAAGAACCGCTACCCGCTTCCTTTGATCAACGACCTCATCAACAAGCTCAAGGGAGCTCGGTTCTTCACCAAACTCAATGTTCGCTGGGGCTTCAACAACGTGCGCATTCGCCAAGGCGACGAGTGGAAGGCAGCGTTTTGGACAAACCGTGGGCTCTTTGAGCCGTTGGTGATGTATTTCAGCCTGACCAACTCCCCTGCGACGTTCCAGACAATGATGAATGACATTCTTCAGGATCTCATCCTCTCTGGCGACGTTATGGTGTACCTTGACAACATTCTCATCGCACATTCCAATATCCACCATCATCGGGAAATTGTAAACGAAGTCCTCCGACGCCTCCGCAAGAACAAGCTCTACCTTCGCGCGGAGAAGTGCAAATTCGAAATGTTGTCCATCGAATACCTCGGGGTGATCATCTCCCATAACCATGTGGAGATGGACCCGGTCAAGGTTGCAGGTGTGGCGGAGTGGCCAGCTCCGGTTAACAAGAAGGAAGTGCAGCAGTTCCTTGGCTTCACTAACTTCTACCGGAGGTTCATCCGGGATTTTTCGCACATCGCCCGCCCTCTCTTTGATCTCACCAAGAAGGACGTGGCGTGGACTTGGGGCGCCAACGAGGCGGACGCGTTTCTTGCGCTGAAGGACGCTGTCACCTCTACCCCGGTCCTGCAGCTCCCCGATGCTTCCCGGTCTTACCGCCTCGAAGCGGACAGTTCGTACTTTGCGACTGGTGCCGTCATCTCGCAGCAATCCCCCGTAGACGACAAGTGGCACCCAGTCGCCTTCTTCTCGAAGAGTCTTAACGAGGTCCAGCGGAACTACGAAATCCACGATAAAGAGATGCTCGCCATCGTCCGCGCCTTGGAGGAGTGGCGACACTTCCTCGAAGGTGCCGAGCATCCGGTTGAGATCTGGACTGACCACAAAAACCTGGAGTATTTCAGGAAGTCTCAGAACCTCAACTGTCGTCAGGCCCGCTGGTCCCTCTACCTGTCTTGCTTCGACTTTACCCTGCATCACCAACCTGGCCGCCCAGATGCTCTCTTGCGCTGCCCTGACCATGGAGTTGCTTTGGACAACGCAGACGTGTCATAACTCGACTCTTTTTCATCTTATCATTGACGATCTTATCTTATCACGGCACAACTTATCTTATCACGGATCACGGTATCAGACGGTCCGGGCTAGGGGTTCCAGGGGTTATCTCTATCGATTCGAGGCTGCGCGACATATGCTCCGGAAGGTTCTACTACAACCCATGACCAGTGCTCCATGCGGTACATAGCCCTATGACTCATTAGTTGTAGATATGACTCAGACTGGATTTGGGTATAAATACTGTAGCTATTTGGTTGTATTCTCCAGTCTTCGAATTCACTTCTCTTTTCGACTTTGTTTTTGGGTTGATTGTCACATAATTCGAAGACTCCCCTCATACCCTCCTACCTCATACCTCTTACCCTGCATCCCGCACCGCTACGCCCGCTATATCCTCTTCACCCTTATCACCCCACTTACCCTTTTACTGAATCATCTAGTCGTTCTCTGCGATCGCAGTGAAGGGTTCATATCGAGCAAACAGCACCAGGCCATGGGTAACGTTGAGCCCGACCCAAGCCTTACGGTAGCTACAAGGAGTGCTGCGGAGACCTTCGGGAAAACGCACCTCGGGATCATCGGGCACGTGAAGAGCTAGGCCCGGGGTCTTTTTGCTAGCAAAAGAACCTTTCCTCGAGTGCTTGTACAGCACACGAATCCACCATTTCGTACCGATTCCCATCGTCATCTGGGAGTCCATCCCCTCCCCCCATCATACCATCGTCGCCCGATCTGGCGCATCAAAACCAACCCGGGCCCTCCAACCCCTATCTCGCCCTTCCGCCGCCTGAAGACGAGTTCCCCGACCTTGGCGAGTTACCCTCCAAACAACCACCCTCGCCCCCACCTACCGCACCTGCTCCTACCATGTCAGGACATCACCGCATCACCCTCGCCGCCAATCCTCCCTACTTCGATGGCAACAAGTCCAAGTACCTGGGCTTTGTGGATGCGTGCACCACTTACATCGGTGCCTATCGGTCAGAGTTCTCGCTGGACGAAACAAAAATCCTCTTTGTCCTGTCCTACCTCCGCAATGAGAGCGGCACAAGCTGCACCGCCTCAAGATGGGCGATGAATTGGAAGCAGCACAATTTCGAGGGCTTCCAAGGACTAAAGGCGGGAGTCACCGCAACAAGCTTCTTGGAGGAGCTTCAGAGGGCCTTTGGGGATTCTAACGCAGAACAAGTCGCTGCCGCCCGACTCATGGCCCTTCGCCAGGGCAGACAGTCCTTCGCGGACTACATCTCCGACTTCGAAATGCTGGCTGCAGACGCGGGGTACAACGTGGTCACCACCACCGACAGCAAGGGCGAGTACAAGAAGGGGGAACAGGACAATATCCTCATCGAGTTCCTGGAGCGCGGACTCAGCAGCGAAATTGCAAGCCGCCTCTACAACACCGGCGTTCCCCTGCCCAAGGCATATGGTGCCTTCAAGAATTGGTGTGTCAACATCGAGGCAAACGCTCTACGCAATCGGCTGCGCAAAGCATCGCATGCACAATCCGCACCGCGACCGCCTCCCCAATTCCGCCCTCAGGCTGCACCAGCGGCGCCCACGCCTGCCCCGACCCGGCCGGCTGCCAACGAACCAGTCCCAATGGAAATCGATCGGACCCATGCCCGCGGCCGTAATATCATCTGCTACAACTGTCAGCAGCCTGGGCACATTGCGCGGAACTGCCCTGAGCCCAAGAAGAAGCGCACGTTCTTCAATCGGGCCACAATGCTAGAAGAGATCGAGAACGGGGACAAGGACAACGAGTTCCTGAAGGAGATCGCCGAGAAGCTGCGCGAGAAGGGTTTTTGAAGCGCTCCACTCCTCTAGCCAAGGAGGTGGAGCGTCCGGACTATGGACGTTTTTCTGTACTTGTTTCAATTAAAGAGATGAACGATTCTCCTCATACATACACGATCCCAGACTCACTACGTACTAATATTCATGATTTTCTCGTTGCTGATATGGAAAAGGAACGTCAAAGGAAAATAAATTTCAATAGAGAGTATTTACAAAGTAAAAAGGATCAGAAAGCTGCGGATAAATCAATTTTAGACTCCTACGTATTTATGGCTC